TTTCTGGGCCGCAGTTTCCATTTGTATCCTCTCCTCGCATAAGGCGGTTCTTTTCTCTCTCCCTCATCCCCTTCCGATGGCCACCTCCCACTGGCCAGAGGGCTCTTCAGATGCTGCACTTCCCAGCTGTGACAGCACCACACCAAAGGGCTACCCACGCAGGTCTTTTTCAGGAAGCCCGTGTTACTCACTGATCAGTGAAAGACCTGAGGACACGGGCGTTCCTGCCTTGAGCCACGTTTCTGTTAACAGTGAAGGTTCACTTTAGAAATAGGGTGGCAGGACTTTAGGGGACTCCAAAACCAGCTGTTTCAACAAGGGGGGAGTGATGGCGATTTTCTCTGACCCGTCTCCTCCTGCATTCCACAAACGCGGTCAGATGATGTACTGCTTTTGATAGAGAGCACAGTGAGAAGGGGACTGTGGAAACAAAAGAAAGGGGTGCTTAAAATGTACACAGACACGCATTTTTAAATGTAAGCACTACTCTTCAGCAAGAGGTGCTGTGAAAATGCAGGTGGGCAAGAGAAGGGTCACAATCGGGAGTATATGAAACACAGTTCATTCTTATTAATTAATTACATTATTGTTTTCCATACTAACAACTGTCAACCTACTTTTTTACAGTTGCCCCACTCTATTTCAAAATGGGTGCCACCCAGTCAGAGCCATCCATGGTGGTCTTACCTGCTCCTGTCAACCCTGTCTTCAGCTCTGCTCCGTACTCAGGGCTCAGTGCAGGAGGGCTCATTAGCGGGCAAATGTAGCAACTTTAAACAGCCACAGCTGCATGCTAATGACTGTCATGTTTTATTTTCCCCTAATACTTTAAAAATATACAGTAAAATGCAGATTTTAAGTTTACATTTTCATAAATTTGTTTAACCCTAAGCAAGGCATGGAATAGTCCCACCATGTGAGAAAGTTCCCTTAGCTACTTTCCACTCAAAACTTCCCACCCAGAAGCCAACAGCTATACAGTTTCTCTTATCATAAATTATTTTTGCCTGCTCCACAACTTCATATAAGTGGAATCATACTTTTTCGTGTGTCTGGCTTCTTTTTTTAATATATTTTTATTTCAGAGAGGAAGGGAGAGGAAGAGATAGAAACATCAGTGATGAGAGAGAATCATTGATTGGCTGTCTCCTGTACACCCCCCACTGGGGATCGAGCCTGCAACTCCTGGCATGTGCCCTTGACCGGAATTGAACTCAGGACCCTTCAGTCCTCAGGCCGATGCTCTATCCACTGAGCCAAATCAGTTAGGGCATGTCTGGCTTCTTTTGCTTAATATTTAATTTTTGAGAATTTTCCATGTTGTGCTATGTATCAGTAGCGCTTTCTTTTGTATTGTTGTGTAGTATTTCATTATACAAATACACAAGGATTTGTTTACCCATTTCCTTGCTGGTGGGCATTGGGGCTATTTCTAGGCTAGTATGAATAGAGCTGATATGAACAAAAACAAAAAAGCGCAAAGACGGGAGCAATAAAAATAAAAGCAGAAGTTAATGAGAAAAATACTAGATCCAAGTCATCAAATTCTTTAAAAAACTCTAATATCTCATTAAAAATACATAATGACCAACTGGAATTTATTTCAGGAATTCGGAGTAGGTTACTATTGAGACTGTTAGTAGCATTTATCATGTTAATAAAGCTAAGGGAAAAAATGGATCTCTAAAGGCTAAGATTATGGTATGATCATTTCTAAAGCTAGTATCATATTTAATGGAACAGGAAGCAGGCAAGGATGCCTCCTATTTCCACTACTTCCCACGTTGTGTTAGAGGTTTAGTACAATTAGAGGCTTAAAAAACGGTAAAGAAGAAGTAAAATTACGTTTATTTACAAATCAGAAAGCATATCTGGAAAATCTCAGAGAATCAATGATTAAAGGATATCAAATACTAAAGAATTCAGTCAATTAACAGGCTATTCATATAATTAAATGGGAAGCAAATAGAGGACATATAAGTAATGGTAGATTAAAGTCCTGTTTATTACAGCTTCATAGTCATCTATCAGATGATATCCTTCTATTTCTACTGCTCTTGTCCTTCCCTAAACCAGTTGGGTTGCCCTCCCTAGGGAACATTGGCATTCCCTTGAGATAGTTGTGATTGTCTCCATGATGTCTGTGGGTGCTGTTGGGTAGGGCCAGGAATGCTGCTAACTACAGGATAGCTCCTGACAATAAAATGTCAGCAGAGCTGAGACTGAGAAACCCTGGCTTAAACGTATTTGATTTCTAATGCCTATGTTTAGAATCGTGGGGTGGTAGGGTTTTTATATTTCTAGTTAATACATTAATTACTCAAGTTTAAGGGTTACCTTAAATTTGAGAAATAACAAAGAATAATAAAAGAAGAATTACTTTCCTTTAGTGATGGACAATGATGGTGAAAATAGCTTATTTTACATAGCACTGAGCAGTAGACGTCTTCATCGACTTCTTATTTGATCTTAATGCTGTTATGATTGGTGCAGTAGGTCCTTTTATCCCTGTTTAACTGGCGAAGGAACTTACCTGTTTCTTCCTGGCTTCAGGGACTAAATCACTTCAGATAGGAGGGCAGTAAGGTGCAGAGTGAGTGCATTCTTCATCTGTAAAAGTGATCTCACCCACTTTCCTTAATTCCAGCTAAACACTGGACGTGTGGTCCTGGGCCTGAAGAGTTGATGCTTAGTCTGTATTGTCTTTAATTGTAACTTGTTATAGCTGCGAATTCGTGCTTCTAATAGAACTTTCTGCAATGATAGAAATATATAAATATGTGCTGTTTAGTGTGGTGGCCATTAGTCACATGTAGCTATTTAAATATATATATATATATATATATATATACACACACACACACACACACACACACACACACACACACACACTCTAGAGGCCCGGTGCATGAATCGTGTGTGGGGGAGGGACCACGGGAGGTTAGCTGGCCTGGGGGGAGGGACCGAGGGAAGTTGGCCACCAGCCCCAAGGAGGGAGCCAGCCCTTGGCTCCCCTGGGAAAGGGACTGCATCAGCTGCCACCCATCCCTGGTTCCCCATCCCAGCCCAGGACCGAAGGCCCCGGCGGGGTCGGGAGAGGAGGCGATGGTCGCAGGCCAGGCATGGAAGGAACAAATGCCGGATGCCAATGCCAATGCCAACACCACCATCGGCGCCCCACCACTGTGCGGTTCTCCTCCTTCCTTTGCTGCTGTGCTGCCACTGCGGCGGGCGGGCGACCCCCGGGGAAGGGGGAGGATGGGAGTGAGACAAACCCTCGTGTCCAGGGCTGACTTTCAATAGATCACAGTGAGGGAGCTGCTCTGCTATCTATGAAACCCCGACCCAGAAGCAGGTCTCTAGGAATGGTTTAGCACCCGGGGTCAATGGGGGCCGGCCAGCTTGGGGCAGGGGCCGCGGGAGGTTGGCTGTGGGAGTGCACTGACCACCAGGGAGCAGCTCCTGTGTTGAGTGTCTTTTCCCTGGTGGTCAGTGCGCATCATAGCGACTGGTCTTCCCGGTCATTCTGGTCATTCGGTCATAATGGTCGAGTAGGCTTTTATAAAGAGAGATATTAAGATTAAATAAAATTTAAAACTAATTTCTCTTCAGTTATACCACCCACATTTCAAGTGCTCAATAGCCCTGCATTATCTTCTAATCAGTAGTTCCCAAAGTAAATCAATAGATTGTTTTATTTCATTTTAAAAATGGAAATTGTCAGAGCCCATCTTAGCTTCTGTCCATTACTGAGGCTTTGGTCACCGTTATTTAAGTCCTGTGGGAAAGGGGGCATTACTTTTTCATTGGTAGGAAGTGAATGAATGTCCATTCCTATGTGGATATCCCTCAGCCAGTTTCTTCCACTGACACCTTGGCCATTAGCTGGTATGTGTGTTGTTAACAAATAACTCACGGATTCCCCTGGGAGTGGAATGCTGTTCAAGCAGTGGGAGGGAGGGCACGCCATGCCACTGGAAGCATCCTGGCGCACTCTTGATGTGCGTTTGGTCCTCCCATTTCACCTACTTTAACCATAACCTTTAGCTTCCACTTGGTATTAAAGTCACCTTCTGAAACCACTGAGGGAGTTGCAGTTCTTAAAACCTCCCTGCTGTCTAGGATAAACCTCCCTACTTTCTAGCTTCTAGGAAATTATTTCAACATGTATGTGTGTGTGTATGTGCACATGTGTGTGTGTAGTGGGAAGGTGGGCCCTACTGCATGGTATAATGCTGCTGACATTTACATTTGGTGCATGAAACATGGCTTAAGGAGTTGGGCAGTACTGGAGAGTTTTCAGCTATATTGTGGTTTACGTTTTCTTGGTAGATGAACCTGGACATCTTACTCCTCCTCATCGCAATATTTTTATTGGAATGTTTTTTCAACTTAAGGCCTTTAATATTACTTAAAAATTTGGGGAGGTTTTGTTTGTATATTACAATGCATCCATATATTTTAAAAGTTAAAATTGCTCTGTTTTAATTTTCAAGTCAGTTTACTTCTTGTATGTTAAAGGAGAAACATCTACTGAACGGTTCCACGTTCTGCCCATCGTCAGGCAGCAGGAGGAAAGGCCGGTTTGCTCTGATGATGTAGAAGGGCTGAAGAGGGCCATTTTCGTCATTTAACTGTGGCTTTAAGTTCCCCCATCATTTCTAGTTTAATAAACTTTCATCACAGTTATGCCCACAATTTATCTTTGTAGTTTAATTTTACCGTATGACTAAAATGCTGAGGTAAAAGCAATGAAGTTGTAAAGTTGTAAGCTGAAGCAGTCATGAAACAAAAAAATAGATTATATTGGGCATTTTCTTCCAGGGGAACTCCCAGTTGTTGGAATAGATGATTACAGAGTTTGTAGCTACATCTACAGGTTCTTAGAGTAATGTGGATTTAGTTAATACCGCCCCCCCCCCACCCCTCCAATAGTATTTTGGTTTACAAAGCAATTGAGGGTATTACTAATGTATTTTTGTTTGTTTGCTTATTTTCAGAGGGAAGTGTAACATCTCCCATTTTTCTGACATATTTGCTGCTAGAGAGTTTAAAGCCCGAGTGGATTCATTTTTCTACATATTAGGCTATAACCCTGAGACAAGGTAAGTGAGTCACTTGGGCCCACTCATTGAGAACTTCTGCTTTTCTGACTGTGTGTGTGTGTGTGTGTGTGTACATCTGGGTAAATACTATTAAGGTTAAAAAAAAACACACAAACCCTCCAAATCCTATAGTAAACCTCTTTGGAAGGAGTTATAATGAATGTTTTTGGTGTCTAAAGCAGCTTTAGTGTCTTTCTTTCAAAAAAAAGGAAACGTGAGAAAATTTGGATTTAGAGAGGGGGAAAAGACACATGTTTAGTTTATCTGTTTTGAATTTATTATGAATTGGCAGATTATTTATTACCTTAATGTGTATTCTGTCACACCTTCCATGATACCATATTGAAAACACTAGAACCTCATGGGAAGTTCTACAAATGTAAGGATTTAGAAAGAAATAAAAGATACTTGGCTCAAGGAGGTTAGTGGAAGAACCTCATTAAGTGTAATAGCAAGATGGGTAATCGTTTTAGGGGAAACCTTTTCCTGGAGGATGCTGAGAAATTATATGTTAAGACAGTCAACCTAGGGTCAGTAAAATGTACCATATTTTTTGTTGTGGTTGTAAGAGGCTGTATAAAGCCTTATTAAGGCATATATCGAACAGCTATAGTGGTAATAGTGTAAGGGTCACCTTTTTTGCTTACCGTTTTTCTTTAGAAAACAGTGAATTTTAGCTTTTATTTTCTCTTTTGAAGTTTGCCCTGTTCCAATGACAAAGAAGCTAACCAATGGTAATATTGCAAAAGCATCTTATATTTTGAAATGTGTATTTTACATTTGCATTTATTGACTGCCTGGTCATTCGTGTCTTCCTGTTGCCCAGAGGAAATGTGGAATAGTTGAACTTGGATTTCTGTCTAGACACAACGGAGTCTATTATTTTAGTGATGCCATGTTTATGTAACTATCTGGTAAATTGTTGTCATATTGCACAAGCATATGTATTAGTGAATTGACTAAGTTATGTAACTATCTGGTAAATTGTTGTCATATTGCACAAGTGAATTGACTAAGTCGCTTTTGTGTTTTAAATGTTTAACTTTTAGGTTTATCACAACCAACCAAATTATGTATAACTCGTTTTGGTTATATATCTGTTTTTGCTGAAGGCATATTAAAAAGTGGCATATAACGTACCTGTGTCAGCGAGGGACTCACAGCTCCGGCTTCATTTTCCTTGTGTGTCGCTGGCAGTCACTCAGCGTGATCCTTCCCATTTGTCCTAACGTGTGGGTGAGGTGTGCCAAAGGAGACGGTCTTTGTCTCTCACCTGAAAAAGCAACTCAGAGCCGTGCCTGTGTGGTGCATGCCCGGGCCCTGCTTCTGAGTCACTTCTGTGAGCGCTTTGGCTTCTAGCCACCGTGTGTCCCTGTCCCTCTCGGTGCTGGTGTTCCCCGTGCCCCGCTTGTGCTCGGTCTGTTGTGAGTGCTGGAGGAGTGCTGGATGAAGTGATCAGGTGTTTGATTGTGTACTTGTAAGTGAAGCTTGTGGCAGATCTCACACTTCTTACAGGGTGAGTATGAGAATTTGTAGCAGTGGAGCCGGTATGGCTTCCACTCTGAACTCGGAGTTGGGTGTACAGTTCTTGTGGCTGCTCAGATGATCAAAAGAGTGTATGTGATTTAACAGACTGTAGAAACGCTGTTTGTGTTTCTCCACCTGGCCATGCGCAGCCCAATCTTTAAAATGCTCAGGGTGCATATCGCTGCAGAACTTACCTCTGATACCTCTGTTTCTGTCTTTGTTTCAAGTTTGTGAGGAATGGGGCTGTATGGTGAGCTGGTTTCTCGGTAGTCCCCACTTGAATGGGTGGGCCTGGCATGTAATGGTGGCTGCATGGTGCTGTGTGCTGACTCAGTGCCCTGAGGCACTTGAAGAGGAAATGTCAAACTGGCACTAATCCTGGGAGGTAACGCCTGTATCGGGAAGACCACTGGAAGGTAAAGACAGGCAGTTCTGTGACTGCAAACTCGGATGACTGTTCCTTCCACTTAAATAATGCAGGAACTGTGCTCCGAGTGAGCAGCTGGAACCAGAGTTTAGATAGAATTATTATATCTCATAGCAAATTTTCTGATAGTAATTAAAAGTTGATTTATGTACTTTTCTGTAATTTATTTAGCATATTAGAAAGCACTGAAAGCTTGGAATATTTTTTTCACGTTTATCACATAGATCCATTATAAACCCCAGTGTTTGGCTACCTTTTTATTTTTTCCCTAAACTGGTTACTATATTTCAGAGTGTTGTGTCTTGCCAGGGACTTGGTTGTCCAGGACTTCTGGTTCTGATGGCGTTAGTTTGTTGAACACATGTGTGATAGGGAACAGACCCGCCGTTGCCTTTAAAATGTGAGAGATGCGTAGTCTCTTATCTTTAATTCTGAAATCTGAACACTGAAAATATCAAAAGATTTTTATGCTAAGTTTGATGCTGACACTCATTTGATGGTCACACTTGACTTGAACTGATATGAAGCTATTTAATTCTTAATTTGTTCACTTTGTGTGGGTTTGCACAACTTGTACAGCAAAGTACTAATGTGGTAGAAGAGTGGTCATTTCTTGGTCACTGTTGGGGTGTTACATAGTATATGGTATATTTACTCTAGTACCTTTCTAAATCCAAAAAGCTCTGGATTCTGAAAATCCTCTGACCCTAAGGATCTTAGCTGAGGGGTGGTGATACTGTATGTTTGTTAACATTGATGTTTAACTAACAAAACTTATTTGGGAAAATAAAACTAGGGGCAGATGTTTTTAGCTTTAGGTAGGACACAAGCTAAAAGGGGCTGACAAATGAGAGAGGCTCGAATCTAATGCTGGCCTAAACTCTGAACCCTTAAGTGGGCTTTGCTTTTGGAGTTGGTTTTGACATTTCTGCACTCAGGGAGTGTTCACTTTTGCTGTGTGTACAAGATTCACCCCAAATTTATTTATGTAGTCAGCACACTCTGACTCAGGCCACTGAGTTAGGAGGGGAAGGAAGTAATGGTGAGTGGAGTCCCAGAAAGAACGATAGTGGCCATTTGAGAGGAGATGCCTTTATCTTTAAATTATGAAGCATGAACTTCCCAAGGACCAGTCCATTTGTCTCCCCTTGCTAATAAGAGTTCTTTAGGTCCCAGAGTGCATTTAGGGATAGCGAAGGAAACATATAATTTAAAATGGAGCATTTCGTATGGATGGTCACTGCTGTATTGTCTCTTTCTCTTCCTTTTTCCCCTCTTCCCCAACATTACTGTCTTTCTTATGAAATTATCAGTGGGTTTGGTCTGTAGCATGAAACATCTGATTATATTCTTGGTACTTTGGTTTTTAGTATGAGTCTTCTCTTAGTAATCCGGTGGAAAACAAGTGGAGGGCTCAGATCTGATCTTCTATCTCACCCAGGAGAGAATGTTCTTAATCACCTGCAATCAGCTGTACCCTCTTCACTTTTCTTCTTCCCGGAAGGAGCTGCTGCTTATATTTAGTAGTAATCTTAAACTGAGGCATTTGCAAGGTCTTATAAGTTAATCGTTCCCTGACTGACAATGGCAGTAATGTTACTGACGATGGCTAGTTAGTGAGCAGTATGTGCCCACTCTGCTGTGAGTGATGTACTTAATTCATTTTATTCCACTTTGTTTTGAAACAGTATCAATCTTATAGGACAGTTGCAAGTATAGAAGACCCTTTCTTCTTTTTTAAAATATATTTTTATTGATTTTAGAGAGGAAGGGAGAGAGAGATAGAAACATCAGTGATGAGAGAGAATCATTGATTAGCTGCCTCCTGCATGCCCCACACTGGGGATCGAGCCCACAATCCAGGCATGTGCCCTTGACCGAAATTGAACCCTTTAGTCCACAGGCTGATGCTCTATCCACTGAGCAAACCAGCTAGAGCCTGACTTTACTTCTGATAAACATAAATTTTCTGCTCACATAAAGTTAAGGAAGACTCCATTAGAACAGCATATTCATTCACCTGCTCATCTCCCCTTTATTTAGAAGTGTAAATGCTGCACCTATTATTTGCTAGGGGAGGAGAGAGGGAGGTCAGAGATAATGTAGATGTACCTGTGGTCAGCAGACATCTGAGAAGACCTTGTGATTGGCCATCGAAGGAAGCAGTAGGACAGGCCATATGCAGGTAGGGTGTGCATATCCCTGCAGGCAGTCAGGTGACAGGTAAGGAAGTGTGCTGGCAGGCAGTCAGAAGCACTACGCAGGTATCTACTCTACAGCCAGTGGAGAAAAAAAAGACCCAGGTGATTAGAGGCCCTTCAGTACTGAGTATAGTTCCAAGGTGTCCTTGGTGCAAGACGAGGCTTGGTCAGTGGAAACAGTCCATTTCTGGAACTGGGAGTCTGGTTCAGTGTGGCACGTTGCCTTACTTAAATACCAAACCACTAGGTTTCAGTGCTCCTTGATTTTCTCTGAGGAGGAGGACTGAACCCATATTCTGAGGTTGGACTGAACTTGGAGCTGGATGTTAGTTGATACAGTTGGGGATTAGAGCACTACGAAGCGGGTAGCCAGGCAGGTCAGGCCCCTCGGTGCCCCTAGACTGTCCACTCTCCAGACTCCATGAGAACTCATGGCTGAAGGTGAGTACAAGTATTTTTTTGTTTCTTTGATATATTTTTAAATTTTCATTTTGGAATTTTATGTACCTAACTTAAAGAAGGGTTATGAGGTTAGTACACAGAACTCCCATATATAGTTTCCCCAACTCAACAATTGTTGACATTTTGTAATATTTGCTATTTTATTTTCATGGTATTTTATGTGTTATCTTTTTAACTTTATTACAGATTTGCTTATTATCTCTGTTTTTGCCATATTATTTTCCATATTTGCTCCATTACTATCTCTCTAGTATTTTTCTTTCCTGAAACATTTGGAAATGAATATCGGACATCAAGCTTCTTTTCCCCTAAATATTTCAATGTATATTTTCCAAGACCAAGGACATTCTCTTATACAACCATTGTATGGCTATCAAAATCAG